CTTGTAGTATTAGTTAGGATCCCTTCCTTCATCTTGTTTTTCTTTACATCAAATAAAAATGAGTCAAACTGAATAACTTGACGAGCCATGGGCTTATCATCCTCTCTCCTTAAACAAAGTCGTCCTCGACTTTGGAGTAATTTCAGCAGCCCTTTTCTTTGATTGCACCTTGGGAAACACCTCAGTCTTAATAGCACTCTCAAGCATTGGTTTGAGAACATGATGAACTCCCTTATGCACAAATGAATAATTATTAAAACGACCAGTATGAGTAGCATCAAGATCAAACTGCCATGGCCGACCCAATAATAAATGACGAGCACTCATCGGTGCAACATCATAGTCAATTGTATCCACATAATTTCCAATAGAAAATTTAACTCGCACCTTGTGAGTAATTTTGAGTGTACCTACTTTGGTTCATCCATTGGATATAACGCGGCATTGGAAGCCTCCGCGATAGACAGAGACAAAGCATGCACAAGATCTGAACTAATAGCATTTGTGAAACTACCGCCATCAATAATTAGCTTGCGTACCTTATCTTGGATTGTGCATTCTGACTGAAATATATTAGAGCGTTGCCCCTTCACATTACTAGCAGTATCATCCTGCTTGACTTCTTGAGTCAGCATAGATAAGCCACTTGCTGCATCATCAACAATATCAATTGATGGCTCTATAGGAGAATAAAAGAAAGAGTCCATAGCTTACTGTTCTGGTGTGGAAAAAATTTCAGCACTCATGCTTACATCTCTCTCTTGCACAATTAACTCATCTTCAAGTTCAGTTATGTTTTCTTTTGTAGGATACACCTTTTTGTTTTCCTAAATATGAGGAATAATATCAGTAATATGAGCATATTTCTTCAACAGAAAATGCAGAAGCAATAATAGCCTCGACTTTTTATCAACATATTGACTTTCTATTTTGCTGCCACACACTTTTTTTTGGGACCAAGAGAACTGCGAGCACAAGCAGATAACTTGTCACCATAATTATTGTGACTGGTAGCTTGCTTTAATTTAGCGGAAGAAATAAATTCAGCATGCATAGACTTGCCATAACTAACACCAGAACCCAGCTTCTTCTCATAAGAATTAATATCACCGACTAGCCGGTTAAAAGCAGGAAGGTACTCATCTCCAGCAATAGAATCAGCCCATGACGAGCGCATATTTGCCTTAGTGCCTTGGGGATTTTGTGCATGTGCAGTCAGTGGCGGAGCGTGCAGCCCAATCGGGGGGGGGGGGGGCTATTTTGCAAGCACACGTACTGAACAAGAAGACACCTTACCGCAGTCCGAGACCTTTGTAGGTTGGCAAGATCTATGTTGCGGCATGCCAAGTGCAGAGCCGTCTGCGGTGGAGAGATGTAACTAATTGTTGTGAGCCACGGAGACACCGCCACTTTGACGAAGAAAAGCAGAAAGTAGAAATAGAGACTGAATGTGGATTGCGTTGTTTGCTATGTCTATGGATGGACTGGTTGGTTGCTTGCTAGCTGCCTTGACTCTGCACTATTATTAATGGCCTTGCATTTGTATTTCTATACCATCTAAACATATGACTTTAGAAAATTTACGGAGCCAAGGGGGGGCCATGGCCCACTATGGCCCCCACGTAGCTCCGCCTATGCGTGCAGTAGCTACCTTCTTCTTTGACTCAAGAGAACGAAATCGGTGTCGAAGCACAGCTTTCATATCGCTCCACGTTCAACAAGGAATTTTTTTGTCCCAACGATCCCACCAATGTAAAATATCTTTAGTCATTGTCTCTTCTGCATAATACATCTTTAGGGTCGATTCAAGTCCACGACCCCAGAAGAAATCCTCCATATGTTCTTCCCAATCATAGTACTCCTTGAGACATGTTGCTAGAGATAACTTTGGCAAAAGATGAACTTTCTTAAGCAATTTCAAATCCTCCATTGAATTTTTTTTTTCAAATGCACCGTGAGCAACCCAGAAGCTGATACCAACCGGTGAGGACATGCCTACGATGTCCAATATTTGCCCAATCATTCACGGTACACAGAAATTAAAATATAGCTTCTTTGAAATTTTATCAACTCTGAATAGTCACAACAAATAATCTGAGATATCGGATGATGAATAGTAGGTGACAAAATGTAACAGTAATTATATTGTATTCGGCATGGAGCATAGTACTGTAGCAATATAATTATCTCCAAAGTAATCACGCCAAGCAACAAGTACCAGATCAGTTCACGAACTGTATGTATAGATAGCAGTACTAGGAACGATCTCGTCTCTCCAGAAATATAATTAAACCAATGAGGAACGAGGCCAATTGTATCACAATAATTAGAGAAATCTCCCAGCAATTATGTGTTGACCAAATAGATAATTGAGATGGATAAAATAATTCCGTTTATCAGCCAAACGCAAAGCAGTAGCAATATCAATGATTGAGGGATCGGCTTAAAATGAGATGCAATCCAAACCCTAAAATTCCTTCTACCCACGGTACAAGAAGCACCACGATTATAAGTGGGAATTCCACGAACTCCGATATGAGCCCAAGCAGTAGCTTGATCAAGACCTTCTCAATCCAAGTTGGATCGGCAGCAGATAGATGCAGGAGGATGCGCCTCCTAGGGTCCCTGGTGTCCCAGCACAGAACCACGAAAAATCACCAAAAACAAATCTCCTCTGTTACATGTCAACCTTGGCCATTATAAGTGCACGCAGGCACACAAGACATCGACTTGACTTGGGCTTCCAAACTAATTAATTAAACGGACTAGCCCACTATGCTAATACTACCACAGCACGTCAAATTGCAAGGAAATAATATAACATTGAGCCAACGTTGCTAACCTACCAGCACCATTAGATTGGCACCATGACTTGTATGGAACCAACATGAAACACCCTTTCTTGCTTCTTCTCTTGCTTGCTCAAATTAATTCCTTGAATAATAAACTTGGTCCCGAATCTTGTAGTATTAGTTAGGATCCCTTCCTTCATCTTGTTTTTCTTTACATCAAATAAAAATGAGCCAAACTGAATAACTTGATGAGACATGGGCTCGTCAGATGCCTGTCAGCATCACGAAGTAGTAAGTCGGCGTGTGCTGTGACGACAGCAGCTGCATCGTGGAGAAGCCTGGCGCCGCCGCGCCGGATGGCCCGCCCAACGTCAGGTACCCCGTGGTGGATGGCTTCGCCGGGAGGCAGTAGGAGAAGACCCCGCCGTACGTGTCCACCGTCTGCTCTACGAGCGACGGCTGCTCACGGCCGAAGCCGAGGAGCCCGTCGATGCCGGTGAACAGCACGCTCTACGCGTGCCCGCGTCGACGAAGAAGCCCTGCACCGCGTCGTTCCACGCCAGAGTCAGCGTGTCGGAGCAGTACACGCTCGTGGTGTTGGACGACCCGTCGCCGTACGTAGCTGACCACGTACCCACACAGCGCCGCCGAGCAGGGCAACACGTAGATGCCAAGCGGTGCGCTGACGAGTTACCCTTGCCATGAGACAAGGTGAGAGATGAGACAGAGCTCACATATGCGTGATACCCGTTTGGATGAATATGAGACCTAGACAGAATTTTAAGGACCAAAATGATACATTTTCTGAGTTTTAAGACCAAAATAACATACCCCTACAATTTCGAGGATCAGCTATGAACTCTACTCTATAAAACAACTTCTCTCTAGCATGACAAATTGGTTACGCCAATGCACATGCACACCAACGTTATATTTTTTTTGAAACACACACCAACGTTATATATTATTATTATCACATCACATGGTCTAGCACCAGGAAGATTAGGATAGATTATTCTTAAAACATTAATTTTAAAGTTGGAAGTGTCTAGGTGGCATTCAGTTATTTTGGTCTCTCCTGTCAACTGAATTTTTCTCATATACTTATACTATCATCTAGCTACATTTATATTGTCTTATTACTATATTTACTACAACTTATTCAGTGTAATTTATTTGACAAAGTGATGTAATTTAAGAATAATATAATATCTTAGATAAATATATACCAAATTTTCAAAAAAAAAGTTACAAATTTTCTATGGATTTCAGATACCAGATAAATATATATCGAATTGTTCATAAATATCATCAAATTGTACACAAATTTACAAATGGAAGAATATAGAACAGAGCTTCGAGCAACAAAACAAGAGAGAAGGAAGCAGAGGACGGCGGCGGCCACGCCAAGGACGCCTGCCGGGGAGGCCCACACCCACTCCAGGGACGCCCGCGCCCGAGCCAGGGGCGGCGATGGCAGCTGGGGGCAGTGGCAACCTAGGTGCGGCGGTGCAGCTGGCCGCGCGGCTAAGCAGAGCCACCGGGGAGGGAGATCCACTGGGAGAGAGCGCGGGGAGGATCTTCCGGAGGGAGGGGAGGGGCCATCAGGGAGGCAGAGGCCACGGGGACCAACGGCCAAAGCCATCGGGCGGACGCCAACAATTGATTGAATCAACCGTATAGCATTTCTGATTTTAAAAGGTATAAAAAAAGATCCCAAGTGGGATGGACCCTCGATGCCAACAAAGTCTATCGCACCTGGTTCATATCACCTCGAGGGTAGCGGAGGAAACAAACTGCCACACAACTATAATGCGGATAGTCAAATATTACGTCTGAAAAGCAGCCCAAAGACCTTCAGAACCAGATTAAATATGAAACTAAAATTCAAATAAGATGTCCAAAGACTAAAGACCCAATCTATATTTCTTTTCTCTTACAGCAATGCCCGGGGATAGCTTACCCCCGCAGGTCGAGTTTTTATAAAAAGGGCAGTAATAATGAAGACACTACGTAGCCTCGACAAAGAATATATTTATTATTCTTCCATGATTATATTCCAACAAGGTACATTGGTAAGAAAATGTACATGATTAATAAAGAGCCGAGCTTCCAGATAATCTAACATTGCAAGCCAGACATCATAGAAATCAGCGAAGTGTATCGAAAGAACAGCAGGCTGTAAATCACACCTGTCAACAATGATTCTCATTTTAAGGAAATTCTTTTGTACTCTCTCACGGTGTTCGTGATAGCTTGCTCTACTGGTAATCTTTCCATGCTTGATGCACCATAAAATCCATGAACCCTTTTAGTATTCTTCAAGATGAACTCAGCCTCTTGGGGTCCAGATATGGGGCCTATGAAATCGTGCATGCAAGTTAGATTATTTGCACAATGAAAATCATTGCAAAAGAGCATTAAGAACAATATATTACAAGACTCTTTCAAAGAATTGGAAATGTACCTCCGTGACAGAGAACAATAATATCAGGATTAACCCCAAGTGCCGCATCTGCAATGGCCTGAACACGTAAAACACTATCATCTAAAGTGGCAGCTGTCATTGCCCCAATAGACCCTGCAGTTGTCAGACCCATATGTGCAACTATGATATGAGCTCCTGCCTTGGCCATGGCAGCAGCTTCATCCGGATTGAAAGCATATGGAGTAGTAAGGAAACCCATGCGATGAGCCACTGAAATCATCTCCACTTCCAAGCTAACAAAAAATATAATCAAGTTAACGCAACTTCTAGCAAGTGTTCTTCCCGTTCAGAAAAACTTATAGCTATAATCATTATGCAATGCTTCATGATAGCAACAGTAAGGCATGGAGAATTTGCACTTCCAAAAGTTTGGAATGTGTAGAACGTATACCTGTAACCCATTCCAGTTTCCTCCAAATTCTGTCTAAAATTCCCATCAAACAGACCTACTGTTGGGAAGTTTTGCACACCACAAAATCCAATGGTTTCTAGTTGTCTGAGAAAGTATTCCATTCTACGGAATGGATCTGTAGCACATACCCCAGCAAGAACAGGAACTCCTTTAACCACCTAAAGTTAAATCTATATCAATAGTTGTGCACAATAAAGTTGAGAGACATCAGTGATGTTGGATTCTGAGATACTTACGGGCAACACTTCATTGGCCATCTCAAGTACAATGGCATTTGCATCAGCAAAGGGCAGGAGCCCTGCTAGTGAGCCCCTTCCAGCCATTCGAAACCGTCCAGAGTTGTATAGCACTATAAGATCAACCCCACCAGCTTCTTCAAACTTTGCAGATATGCCTGTGCCGGCACCAGCTCCAATAACTGGAGTACCTTCACTGATTTGTTCCTTTAGTTTATGTAATATTGATCGCGTCTTCCGCAATGTTTCTGTCAACATAGAAGAGCAGTCAATTAGGACACACAAGTTTGCTGAAGCCAGTTAAGAACAGGAAGACGGCATTAACAAAAGCTGAAGCAAGCTGCTTGAACTAGTACATAAATGGTCTGCCTGGTATGTAAGAATTCGCTTTCTGGTTAACTGTGGTGGCTTTTCCGACTTGTAATAGGAAAATTTTAGTTACCTGACACAGGTATATTAGGTCCTTAACACCCTAACTTCATTCAAACTTAGATTTTCCTCTGTTCTAGTTCTGTAACACAAGTACTTTTCCATGTTAATAGGAGTAGAAAATAGGGCTACACCTGTTCGAAAAGGACATGCAAGCATTGGTAATAAGTGACAAGGCCAATAAAAGAACCTAGCACACCATTCAACATGTGTTACATTTCTGGACAAATAAAGTGGAGTCAAAATGAGTATAATTGCATCATAAGGAAGCTGAGCTAGCTGAGTTGGTCGAGCGTGTGGATGTATACCCAGACTACCCAAGTTCAAGTCCTTGTCAAGGTGAATTTGGGTGCCTATTTTCTTCTTAGGCCCGTTTGGATCCTTGGAATTGAATTCATTCTAATAAAATATAATTTAGACACATATTAATTAAGCTAATATGTATGTAACTATGTATATAGAATATATTTCTATACTAATGTTAGCCATGCAAGGGAGATGCTTATATGTTGCATTTCTACTATAAGAAAGCGAGTTGAAGAGCATGCTATAAGTTGAAGAATAGAAACATAGCATGGTGATCTATAAAATCAATTTCCATCTCACACTCTATGAATTTAAGATAGGTTTATATGTGAACTTTGGAAAGTTGTGGAATCTCAAATTCCAAGTCAAATAGCCTAATCTATTAAGTAGATTCCAATTCCACCAAATGAAATGATCCAAACAGCCCCTTAGTAAAATGTCACCTAGTTCCTCTTAGGTTGGTCTAGTACTATAGTTTTTAGTATAATTCTGTCATAGGTGCAGTGACTGATTATTCATTCTGCCATGGTTGGTTACTGGTACAACTGTGCGGTTTCTGACTTTTGCTAGTGATTTCATTGGTTCAAACCAATTGATGTGTTGCATATTTTTCCATTCACTTGACAATATCCTATTTTCACCCTGAAACAAGTTTGAATCAACAGTCATATTCCTTGACAATGAGAAATGCGAATAGAATCAGAACTAAAATGGTCTCTTTTTTTTAGTGAAATGCAGTGTGGGTCATTAAACTTTTCCCTTATTCTCATATGGGTCCATGAACTCTCAAAGTGATCATCTGCTTCAACTTTTCAAGTGATTCATTCGCAGTGTGAATTCAAGTCCATGATTGACATAGAGTGAACTTAAAATGAACCACTTAAAAAGTTGATGGACCTAGATGATCATTTTTGGGAATTCATGGAACCAAATGAGAATGCGAAAAAAAATTAAGGGCCTATGGTGCATTTCACTCTCTTTTTTCTAGAGTCTGGGGGTTAAATCATAACTAACCTGGTTTTGCATCCGGAAAATCGACAGGAGGTCTCCATATAACAGAACTATCTGAAATTTTCTGTCCTGAACAGGACCTTTTTATATTAAGATCTTGCTTAGGTTGGGCTGAACTAGAGGCCTTTACATCCATACTCAAGAATGCATCTACCAATGCATTTGCGAACTCAGGGTCATTGATATGGTAAGGAAGCAGCTTCACCTGTCCAGAGCCAACAAACTCCGTTCATCTAAAGACACCCTAAAGATGCAGAAGCATTGATAATTATTAAACATGGAGTAACCTCTCGGATGTCGGTTCTCTTTATAAGGGTGTTTAATTCACCCAATAGTGTAGATGTAGCTTCTGGGTCATAGAATGGCATTCCTGGAGCATCTATTGCAGATATGCCCTTCTGGGGAAGGCAAATAGTAACTTTGGATGAAGATTTGTTTATTTTATCAGCAATGAACCTAGCAAATTTCTTGTTCTCTTCCATGGTCGTCCGCATCAATGAAACCTTCAATAGTTACACGGTTGTTACTAATGGTACAAGAAATAGAAAACACACAAAGTACTTGAAATAATATAAAACTCAAGCAACCTAGGAGGAACTAAGTGGCTTTGCTTTTTAATTAAGAAGAAATAGGCACTAAAATTCTCCTCGACGAGGACTTGAACATGAGAAATTGAACTAGACTCAGCTCCTAAGTTCTTGGATAATTGAACTAAAAATGCACAGAAAGGTTCATGTACATACAGTCCTGCAATTTTTGCATTTTAACAGTCAGTGTTTGTACAAATTTTCATTAAATTCTTTAAGAAATTGTACATAGCTAAGAGAGCCATTAAGACAACTGATAAGTTGAAAGATACTCAGACTTATTAGCTGGAAGTGGAGACCACCTTTTTCATTCTTCTTAATATAATGATATGCAGCTCTCCTGCGTGTTCGGAAAAAAAAGTAGAAAGATACTCCCCTGTTGGCAAAGCACTAATGAAGCTGGGCTAGCTTAGTTGGTCAAGGGTGTGGATGCATGTCCAGACCACTCAGGTTTAAGTCCTCGCCGAGGCAAATTTGGGTGTCTATTCTCTTCTAAATAAAATGCCACCTAGTTCCTCCTAGGTTGGTGTAGTTTTTTTGTGGCAAAGCACTATCTTGACATCCTTATGATTTGTGTAACATCATTCTGCACAACCAAATCCCTAAAGATACTCCTGTGGCGGCAAAGCACTATATTGACATACATACATGGAAATTTTGGGAAAAAGTTGAAGGATTTACTTCCTCTTGTCCCAAATATATGTTTATATGACATTAACACAGTCTGCAATACCCCAAATAGAAATAATTGTAAATATGAAAATATTTTTCATGATAAATCTAGTAATGTCAACCTTATGTTGTCAATCTATATGATTGTTTAGCTTTGGAGTAAGCAACCCAAGTTCGAATCCCCGTGGGTGCGCTCTCACTAGAGTTGGAGCGTGGCCTGGCCGAGGTCCTGGGTGCCTAGCGTCCTATGACGCAGGGGGCTAATCTAGCCTCTGGCCTCTATAGTCAAAGTTCAAAAAAATTGACCTACGAGTTAAGACACCTAAGATGGACCTATATTTGGGATCAAAGATAGTAAAAAAAAAATTGACTGATAATATCAATTAAAAACTGTTGATATGCTAACCTGCTCATTATGAACATGGATATTTCTCTCTGCAAAAGTAAGAGGAATTGTATCTCGAGCTCCAAAGTTTACCATATCCAAGGCTCCAACACTAAGAACAAGAGGGATCCTATTCTCTATAATTGCATCAAACCTGGTCTCATCACAAGCCATGATGCCACCTACAATATGATCTGCAACTTCTGTTGTCGTTACATCCAATACACCCTATATGCATTCAAATAGAAGTAATATGAGAAACTCTACAAACATGAGAAAATAAAAGGAACCCCTATGCTCACTAGGAAAGTTCAAACATTACAATACACAGGGGAGATGAACTAAAATAAATCCTATCCCAACTAGATTGATCTGAGTACCAGGCAGAATATAAAGAGTCAAGGACACGATGCATTACCTGTATGAAACCACCCCTAACTAGGTCTTCCATTGCTTTGCCTCCTACACCAGTGGCATGGAATACAAGGGTCTCATACCCTTCTTTGTTCAGTCTATCCTTGACCGCATTTACACATGGTGTTGTAACACCAAACATAGTAATACCAATAGTTGGCTTTGTTGAAGTTTCATCAGACTCATTGGATGCCAACAAGATTCCATGTACCATTCCAGCAAAAGCTGCTGCAGCATTAGATAATATAACACGGCTGACACTGTTTATTCCACATATGTCAACAACCGAAGGAAACAAGACCAAATCAGATGTTTCAACATAAGGTGTAGTGTGACCACTAGCAACAGTAGATACAATAAGCTTAGGCACTCCAAGTGGCAACAATCTCAGAGCAGGAGCAATTAGTGCAGTTCCTCCACTGCCTCCTAAACCAACAGCACCCACCAGAATACCACTGTCATATCTTTTTTTCAGAAAGCTCTGAAGAGCCTTTGACATGAGTGCAATTGCTTCACCTCTGTCATCTGGAAGATTATGTTGGTCAACACCCAAATGGCATGAAAGAATTGTATTTCTCGGGATAAATGTGATGTCTTTGAAATCATTAGCCGTTGTCTTTTCAGTTGTGGAGACATCCACTATGCTCACTTGAACCTGCAAAACCATCCCAAATTCCCAACACATGTTAGCCAAATTTCATTAGATAATTCCTGACCTGGAATATTGCAGCCTGCAGCTGTAAGCCTGTAACTGAAAAGTAAATGCCAAAGGTGCCAACAATATTGCATCTCTTGATGGGAGATAGCTGAAGGGCGGGCCTAGTGCAAGCGGTAGAGTCTTACCGCCTGTGACCGGAAGGTCCCGGGTTCGAGTCGCGGTCTCATCGCATTGCACAGGCGAGGATAAGGCTTGCCACTAACACCCTTCCCCAGACCCCGCACAGAGCGGGAGCTCTCTGCACTGGGTACGCCCTTTTGATGGGAGATAGCTCAATCGGCCCTATTTTGTTGGGTGCCATATTGCCCTTTCACACTAAAACTCACAAACCTGTCTTTAGCCCTTAACCTTACTGCCTAACAACTATACCTTGTCAATTAGAATCATATGTGGAAGAACACGCAAATTTGAGTCCTTGCATAGCAAGTTGCAACCTTACTATTCGACCAAATTCCATTCCTGAATCCCAGCAATTGGGATACTCGATGGAGGACCTACTCAAAACAATGGATACCATTCCGTTTAATTTACTACTATGGCCTCCGAGAATTAGAAAACATTATTCCTGTCTCAGAGACAAATGAGGCCAAACAACGAAGATTCCGAACCAATTCTGGCATCTAGCATAGGACTAGGAGCAACACCGCCCCCAGAGTAGTTGTAACTCTCTCCTACTCCGCGGGTGCTACTGGGGGGTACCGGGGGACGACAAGACGATGCGAAGACTGCGGATGGTGTATACCTTAGAGTCGGAGCCAGTGGCGGCGAGGGCGGAGCGGAGTTGCGCCGCGAGGAAGAGCAGCTCCTCCAACTTGGTGTCCGCTGTTCCGATGCAGAGTACCTCCATTTCTTCGCAACTACGGAGTAGAGCGGAGCGGACGAGATCTCTCCGGGCGGAGCAAGAGTGCGTTCGTGCGTTAGTTGAGAAAACTCCAGTCCAGATGGCTTATGTAGGAACGACGAGTGATCGGTGATTTGGTGAAGGGGACTCGGCGACTCAGCACCAGCCGCAACGATTTCATTGACATTTTTTTTTATATGGATTTCATTGACTTTTGACAAGGCGGGGATCGAAAACGATCTGCTTTTGATTCGGCGGGGATCCGAAACGATCTGTCTCCGTTTTAAATTGCAACTTGCAAGTCATTGTAAGCTCTAAATCAAACTTATTTACCTTTTTAGAAAATATTAGTAATAAATATATTAAATCTACATTTTCAAATAAAGACACTATCAAATATAATTTATAATATATCTAGTGATTTAATGTTATAAATGTGTGTCTTTCTATAGATATAACTAAAGTTAGAGAAGTTTAATTTAATACTACCTCCGTCCAAAAAAAATACAACTATGGATTACGTGATATATAGAGTGATTCATGTTTAACCAAGTTTATATGAAAAATGTTCACATTTATGGTTCTAAATTAATTTATTATGAAAATACATTTCGTAATTAATCTAATGGTATATCTAGTGATTTAAGGTTATAAATGTTTGTCTTTCTATAGATATAACTAAAGTTAGAGAAGTTTCTTTAATACTACCTTCGTCCAAAAAAAAAAATACAACTATGGCTTATGTGTCATTTAAAGTGATTCATGTTTGACCAAGTTTCTATAGAAAAATATTCATAATTATGGCTCTAAATTAATTTATTTATGAAAATAAATTTCATAATTATTTTAATGATATCAAATAAAGACAATATTTGTATTTTATAATATATATAGTGATTTAATGTTATAAATGTTTGTTCTTCTATAGATGTAACTAAAGTTAAAGAAGTTTCATTTAATACTATCATCCGTCCTAAAAAAAAATACAATTATGAGTTGTGTGCCATGTCTTGTTCATTTTTGACCAAAGTTCTAAAATAAAATATTTACATTTAGGGCTCTAAATTAATTTATTATGAAAATACATTTCATAATTAATCTAATACAACTATGAGTTGCGTGACATGTCTTGTTTATGTTTGATCAAGTTTCTAGCATAAAATATTCACAAATATGGCTTCCCATTAATTTATTATAAAAATACATTTCATAATTAATCTAATGGTATCTGATAAAGACACTATCAAATATATTTTATAATGTATATTGTGATTTAATGTTATATATGTTTGTCTTTCTATAGATATAAGTAAAGTTAGAGATGTTTTATTTCATATTATGTAGCACCCGATTTTAAAGAACAAAATCAGATACACACCATATGTGAGCCTAGAAAATCAAATCTCACATATAGCTACAAATAAGGGTAATATTGAAAGACAATGCTCAATATATATAACGTACTTAATATAAAGGATATAACTTTAGACATCAAACAACGGAAAGATAACTCCAATCTTCGGGTGAAGACTTCAATTCAATAGGGACAACTGACTGATTAATCACAAGCCTAATTCCTCCAAACTCTAGCAATCTGGTACCCATCCGGGATTTTTCCAAAGATTTAAAAAGTAAAACAAGCGTAAGTACATGTCGTACTCAATAAATATAACATGGGGTTCATAAGGCTTAAAAGGTTGACACTGGTTTAACTGTGATTAGTTTTTAATTGTCACAATTTTAGCATAGGAGTAGCAACAAGTTTATCACAAGCCCATATAAACACATGATTAGGTAAACATGAATAATGTATAACATAAACAATAATTATTAGTGAGCATCTTTATCATCAGTGTTCATCATCTATTCCGTAAATATTCCAAGGCCGCTCGTGACCGATGAGCACGGCTGATATACCAGTTTTACACTCTATAGAGATTGTACACTTTCACTGTGAGTCGTGATTTACCCTTTCGTCCGAGGTTGCGAGCCTCTTAACCCACTACCAAGGAAGGTCGGCAGGGTTCATTATGAAGTCTTTCAAATGTTTGTCTAACAAGTTAGGACCGCTAGATTCACTCGGTAAATAGATATAGGAACCCCCTGTCGAATGGCATAATTTCATCACGGTTATACACATAAGAGTGGAGGTTGTCCTATATCCGATTCGTCAAGCCATTCTTATGTCATAAAGGTAACCACTAACAAGCTTGAAGAGGTCCTCATACTGAGCTAAAGCCAGAGTCATATAGCCCTCACAGTTGTACTGTAAGTCCCGGATGATCACTTACAAATAAGTTCTTAGGAAGACAAAACTAGAGCACCATAAAAATAGCCCAATGCTCTAACCCCCTGGTTCCATGTTGCTAAAAAACATCTTTTAGTGTTTATTTCATATACCATTAGTCAAGTTATAAGATCATGGTCTTTAATTGAACACTAGCATCATACTACCCAATGCAATACCCTATAAGTGACAAGGTACAAGGTAACAAAGTACTAGGAAAATCCTTAGTGGTAATCAAGGTAGACACATGCAGCATGAATTAAATGATTAAAGGTGTATAGGACGACAAGGATGATCCCATGCAATACTTGCCTTAAACTCTGATCTTTTCTTCAAGTCCAAAACTTCAAAGGGACTTCTTCTTGATCAACACGTAAAGCTCACCGACTGGATAAGATCATAAAGCACCACACAAGCATACATACAATCATACACGAAGCAAACAATAGAACTAAATTAGAACAGTATATCAAACATACAAAACAAATAGGAAAAAGGTTTTAAAGATGTTCTACACGTTACTACGAACACACAGACACGAAAAGCACGACTAATCGGACCTATAATGAAAAAGATACATCTTTCGATGGATTTACTTGAAAAAAAACTATAGGCTTCATTTATTTTAATTATAAAACATATATAAGATACTTCAGAGAAATATCTAAATTGTTTTAAGCCAAATTATATTGGTATTAGAAAACCAATATAAGATTAATATTATTTTATTTACAAAAGACAGAGGTGAAAAACCCTAAGTTACTTTTAATTATAAAAATCCAATTACATAATCATTATTCAAGTTAGGATTTAATCCATGAAATTTTAGACCTCTTGACATGGAAAACATTGATACTAATGCGTAGATTATGTCGTTACGAATCTAATGCAACTTGAATGGGTCAAATCGGAGTTAAAACGTAGAAGATATAGCCTAATGAAGAGAGTGGCAATTTTGTAAATAAATAGAACTCAATAAATAAAATTAGATTTTGAATTCGGGTCAGGGACTGTGGGCATGATAAAGAAGAAGTGCAGTGGTTCTTTAGAAAAAGTGCAGTGGTGGTGGGTTCTATATTAAAAAAACAAGGGACACTTTAGCAAAACTTCCATGCGAAGGGGTATCGATGAATCTAGGCTATTAGATTAGATCTGGACGGTGGAGAAAGAAGGGAGGGAGATGGGGTTCTGCGCAGGGTCAGCAGGGCGGCGCCATGGCCGATGGCGGATAGGTCGCCGGCGACGCTCGGGTTCCTAACCTAGATGTCCATAGGCTACGGGAAAGGGTCGGGATGGCAGAGGAGGCTATGGTGGACTCATTTATGAAGTCGTCGAGGTCTCTAGGGCACTGGAGAGGGCTATGACGACGGCGTGAGGCGGCACGGGAGCGGTGGCGCATCTCCGACGAGCACTAAGACACGATGGTGGACAGTAGAAACCTCAATGAAAGTTCATAGAGGTATCTTACCCTTCTGGGAAGCTCGGAAGGCATCCAATTGACGATGGCGAGCTTTGGAACGACGGTGCGGTGGTGGCGAAAAGTGGTGCTAGGGTTGTGGTATGCGGCGAGCTTGGGTGGAGGCGGCGACTCGTGAGAAGGCTGGATGGGGCAATGCGGCGTAGGAGCTCCGACTTATAAGGGGGTTATGGCGTGGGGCGCACGCTACATCATGCGGAACGGGACGGCGACAGACTCCGGAGCAAAGTTTGGGTCGGTGACATGAGGAAGATGATGTCACTGATAGAGCGGGCCCACCTGTCGGTGACTCAAGGCGCGGGAGAGAGCGGCGCTGCTGGGCCTCGGTTGCTGTGGTTGGGCCACCTACGGAGAGAGAGGAGGGAATGAGCCGCGCGAGAGCGGGAAGGCAAAGCAGGCCTTCAGGCCGAAGCCAAGAGAAAGGGAAGTGGGCCCACGTGGAGTGGGCCGTGGGGTCAGAGAGCAGGCCAGCTGGGCCACGGGCAGATTGAGAGGAGAGAGGGTTTTCATTTTCCAAACCCTTTTCTGTTTTATTTTCATAACCAAATTCAATTCAAATTCAAATATAGTTTCAAATATACTTTTTAAGATGAGAACTTTTGGGAAGTTTCCAAAACTAAACTTTTGCAAACTTTTGAAAATTCTTTATTTTCCAATTCTCTTTTTCTTTTATTTTATTTCAAAGACATTTTCAAATTTATTTTCAAAAGCATTTTGAATTTTAGATTCAACCACACATTACAATAAATCAAATGCACCGGCATGTATGCACATCCAAGTTGCTACTCCTTATGATGAATTTTAATATAATGAAAAATATTCTTTTCCTATATTTCATGTGCACAAAAATTCATAAATAAATCATTTTAATCCTAATCTCAAAAGTACAAATTTTAGGGTGTTACATACTACCTCCGTCCCAAAAAAAATACAACTATGGGTTGCATGTCATGTAGAGTGATTCATATTTGACCAAGTTTCTAGTGAAAAATATTCACATTTATGGCTCTAAATTAATTAATGAGTAAAGTGCATGTACGGTCCTCAAACTTATGAGTGTCATGCTGGCCCCTAAACTCACAAAGTATGTCATTCTGGTCCTTAAACTCTGTTTCGGTCTCAGATTCATCCAAATAGATTTAAACCCATGCCCGCGTGCTAATGAGGACTGGATTGCTTGATATAAAAGATTGAAAGGGATTATTTGCAAGATGGCTTAGACACAAGAAACATAAAAAAGAT